TTGATGCAATTATTTAAGTTTCTACCAAAGAAATAAATAAACAAGTCTAAATTGTACCCCCAAAAAAATATGTCTAAATTAATTGTGTAGTTTAGGCTGACTTAGGTTGTCATATATAGGGTTAATGAATATCTCAAATCCTAAACTAGTGCATGAATAGTATTATGAATTTTAAACTTTTAAAATGTACAAAAACTCTCCTCAATTTTTAAATTCTGAGCGTCTGAAACCCCATTATTAAATTAGAAAAAATTCCTATTATTTTTAAAGGTCAAAATAAGTGCCACGTCAACATGCAATTGAGTCCTATAACTACAAAAGTTGCTGCTTTCTACAACTAAATGATGAGGTTTTAGGTGTTTAGAATTCTAAAGTTGAAAAAAGTTTTTGTACATTTTAGGAGTTCAAAATCTAAGATGCTATTTACGCACAATAGTTTAGAGTCTTGAATGCTTATTAACTCTTATATCTATACACTATGATAATTTAAATGATGATTTTTTGCATCAATTATTATATTTTTTAAACAATAAATTTAATATGTCAATAATTGATAATGTTTTGTTAACATTCAAAAGTTTAATGTTAATATTTTTTTTTTCAATCAAAACTAACAGTGTTAGGCTTAGAAAATTGAAAAAAGACTTTCAAAAAATAACAAATTAAATTAAAATTTTATGTAAAATTGAATGACCAAATGTATACTTTTGCCTTGTATTTCTCAATATGCATGTAAATAATATAAAAGATGCACTCCCTCCGGTCTTATATATATAAGCTATTTTTAAAAACTATTGATAATCCATTTTATAAGTTACTTTTACATAAAAAATGGATAGATCAGTAGTTATTGTTGCACACAAATTGTTACAACATAAGTGTGTGAATCAATATACAATATATTAGCGTTTCAAAGTCATTCTTATGAAGAATCAAACAAAATAATGACTAAGTGAAAGAGTTCTCATTTTCTTTTATGTTAAGCAAAACAAATTGGATTTGATTGAGTAAAAATAAAAAAATGAATTTAATAAAATGCAATGAGATTCTTAATCCAACAACTACTAGTTTAAAAAACAACCTATTAATTTGGGACAATTAGGTATATGTCTATCCTAATTATAAATTAGATAAAAATCTAAATTCATATTACTCAATTTAATAGTCTCAATGAGATTCTTCTTTGTTAAGAAAAAAATCCAACACCCAAAATTATATTTAATGGTGGCTAAACATTAAATAGAAATTCAAACATAAGAATAATTAATAGGTAAAAACAAGTCTAATCAAACTAACTTTAGACGAAAATTATTAATCTCCTATGAAACCTAGGCTTCACCTCGTCCATGGCTTCTTCCTTATCCCCTAGATGTTCCTTGGTAGTTGGAGATGACGGGCTCCAACCTTCAAAACCATAAAAATATTAGTTTTTTCGATGAAGCAATGCGTTTCATTAGATGATGATTATGTTGCAACTCATTTGTGTTACATTGTGGTATAAGATCATTCTGTTACTGTCACCAGCTATCACGCTCGTGTGTTGTAGGGACGTTGTGGCATAAATGGTCTTGGGTTTTTGTGTGGCTAAAGAATCATGCTTTGGCATAATGCAAAAATGTTATGACATAAATTTTTTGATAAAGGGACACAAAAATCTATAACATTATATGATTAGTATAAAAGTGACTAAATCATTAACTTTGACTGTTAAATATTGACTGCATGCCACGTGTCAGTTTTTATTAATGTGGATTAATAAAAGGAGAAAAATACTCATGAAATCGTCGGCCAGGAGCAAAAATACCCATAACGTTAACAAACTTGGTGCAAAAGTGATCAATCTATCAAATCTTTTAAACACTGACCGTTTAGTTGACACCTAAGCAGAAGTTGACCATTTTTTCTTTGATGTGGAAACAAATATTCTTAGATGAAATTCTTTAGAGGTTAATCGATCATTGTATAAATATCATGTGAGAAAATATTATTTTGACCAAATATCAAATTAATCACTTGTTTCTTTGTAGCAGTGGCAAAAATTATTTAAAAAATTTGAACTTATCATGAATGAAATCATTTAAGATTGTAACAATGTTCTTAAGGAAAGGCAGCATAAGAGGTGTGCTTAGTTTTAATTTTCAATTGATTACAGCTTATCTCACTATGTTGAATCTTAGGTTTTGTAGACCAAAAAAAAAAAAAGAGTGGAGAAAGAGGAAGAAAGGAGGTGAGATATATGGCAATAGAAAGAAACCATATGGCATGAATTTTGATGAATTGATCACTATTGCATCTACTAAAGTAACATTATGGGTACTCATGCGATGATTGATTAACATCTGTAAAAATTTATCTTAATTTTTTTTTATCTACATCAGCAAAAAAATCATTAACGTCTATTTAGATGTCAGTTAAGCGGTCGATGATTAAGGGATTTGATAGATTCATTATTTTTGCACTAACTCCAGTTATATTATGGGTATTTTTGCTTCTAACTGATGACTTCGTGAGTATTTGGCTCCTTTATTAGTCCACGTCAGCAAAAATTAACACGTGACATGCACAGTTAGCATTTAACGATCAAAGTTAATGGCGTTACATCAAGGTTAATGATTTGATCACTTTTACACTCACTCATGTAATGTTATCGCTATTTTTTTCTCATTTTAAAATATTAAATACCCCTCGCTAACTACGTTATAAATATTTTTATTCTTTCACCCTAAATTTTTTTACTTTATTTTCAATCCTTACTTACAACTTTTGACTCTTGATTGGACTACCCTACAAACAACATAATATCATTATTATAATTATTACTTAAGTAATCAATTAATTTCAATAGCTCCCTTCTCATCTTCAAAAGCGTTTTTCTATTATTTTTCTCATAATGATAATCTCATTCCTCTAAAAACTTGAAGATCTAACTCTTTGTAGAGACAGTTCTATTTGAAATATAATTAAATATTAAATATAAATATTTTTTTTTAAACAAGCATTTCAATCTTTGTTATGTTGTGATGAATTGGTACATTTCCCTAAATCTAACCGGTTTGAAAACCCAACTTTTGTTCTTAGATTAGGTGGAGACGGCATTTAGTGGAGGTTGTGTCTGACCATGGATGGTGCTGATGTGGACGTCACTTACCAAGACCGTACAGAAACCCACGACTCTATGACAGGCCTGAGCCTCTGACATTTGTGCACTCTCGTACTTCTCAATGTTTTTGCACATAGCCCTAGGCTTTGCTTCATCGAGAAAACAAATTTAAGAGCAAATTCCTAATCTGGCACTCGTATCCATCCGGTGACCAGTGGTTTCTTAAATATTTTTTTATTAATTACTGTACTCTTCTTTTTAAACGATCATCTTAAAACGTAGATTTTAAAAATTAATTAAAAAACGAGGATATTTTAATAAAATCTTCATTTTTTTTTTGGTATTATGAAATCTTCATATTTATTCCATCCAGTCCAAATATAAATATTTTTGTCTTAATTAATTTTAATTCAACATATAAATAATTTAATACTTGTAAAAAAATTTTATTTTACCTCTTGCATTTATTAACTGAAATTCACATGTTTGTGAATTTAGAGGCTTCTTCTCATTTGTCATAAATTAAAACTAAGAATAACAAAGAAAAACAATATATATTTTCATGAAAATAAGAGCTTTATAGGAAAATATCAATAAAAAAATGCTGAAAAAAAATTTTATAAGTCAAGGATCGCTTGTTATCAAAATTTAAATAAATACTTGTTGATAAAAAATTAACATGAATCAATAGGTATTCATTTGAGTTTTAACAACTTATTTTAAATTAATAACAGTTTATTCGAGTTTATTTTACATTTGAATTTTGACAATAATTTATTCTTGATTGATATAAATTTCCTTTAACTATCCTTAATTGTCATTTTCCTAAATTTTATTGGCTTTTCAAATTATTATTAAAAATATTTATATTTTAGACCTGATGATGTCTTTTTGGTGACTTGTTCATGGGCAATCATCCAGTTAACAACTTTAATAAAGGACATATCACTTCAAAATACTTTTATGACTTATGATTACTAGATTGTTTGCATGAAACCTAATACTTGTAAAAAATTTTAATCAACACTATAGTTTTTGGCTTCTCTTAGGAATGTATGTAATAAAAAGCCAATCTAGTTACTAGAAATTGTTTACAATGCTTGTTTGCTGTTTTTTCTTTTTTGGGCAACAAATTAAACATTATTGATGTCAACGAATGAGTCGAATTAAAAAAACAAACTTAATCCTCCTATTAAACAAGTTCAAGAGTTCAAAACTTGAAATTTAAAATACACTAGAACTGATCCAAATTGAACTCAGGTTGCTTAAATCTACCTTAATAATATCCAATATTAAATACTCAAAAAATCATATAATTGTTAAGGTCTACTATAATTAAATGTTGTATGTGAACAAGTGAATTGCATGGGACAATTTTACTTAACAAATAAATTAAAGCAATATGAAAAATTATATGTTTTAATTTTATCTTATCATCACATCAGTAAATATTGAATTAAACAGTAATAAGTAACACATTCCCTCCGTTAAAAAATATAATATATTTTTAACTGAATCTCACTCTCAAATAAAATAGTTACTTACTTTTCAACTAATTCTATCTTTACATATTTACTTCTATTAAATACTTTACAATAAATATATAATCATTATCAATAAAAATACTTTTTTTAAAAAAAAATTACACACCTCAAAAAATAAAAAATACCTTACATTTTTAACATCAAACTCCTCAAAAAATGCTTTATATTTTTAAATAGAAGAGCATAATTTTAAATTTCATCTTATTATGCCCATATAAAGAAGACGTAACTGCAGCGGGTGTTGACTAGGCCCATTTGTGCTTATATGACTTGTGAGCTTGACCAAATGGATTAAATTGTAAACAATCTCTTAATTATTACTCTAATCTGTATAAAGGACGATCAAGCATAATTTTCAAATACAAGTATAAAATATCATCGGATATATATATATATATATATATATGTTCATTGTTCAATTTATGTGAGCAACACCTACTTACATGGATTAAGCAAACTTAAGTTTTGAAATAACAGGAAGAAAAAACTCCCACAACGGTTAAATTTCACCTAAAAAGAATGAAAACGTCAGAGTATCTGGCTCTGCTCCATAGTGCATCACATCTTTAGTTTATTTAAATAAAGACAATCTGCAACAGAGACAGTAAATAAACTGAAGTTAACCTTTAAGAATATGCATGCCACGTATCCATCTGATCCTTTTACACACGCGCTAATAAATTCAGTCTCATTCGATTTATGCAAGGATGCATATACTAAAAGCACTTTGAAAAGAAAAAACTGTACACGGCTTATAATAGACTAGAAGCCCTAGAAAACTATAATTTATAGTACAACTGATTCTTGGCAGCCACACACATTGAGTTAAAGTGTGGTTTTGTATTCCCAAAGGAGCTATATATGGGACACACGTGGCAAGTAATATTTCAAAATCAATGCAATGTTAGATTTTGACAGTTAACAGTTAACCAACCATTAGTGTAGGTCAGGAGATTATATACTACAGTGCTCTACGATTCTCTTTACAGTGCCCCCTAACTCTTGATAATACTTTTACAGTTGGATACATGAGAATTTGAATCAAGGTTTGGATTTAATCAAATCCTTCATTTGGATATTCAAAAGTCTATAGATTGGGATTTAATTCAAATCTAAATCCTAGTTTTCATTATAATTTCTTTGTAATTTCAATTTCCTTTAAATTCTAGTATCTTCACTATCAGTGGCTCTGTTACTCTTGTCTTTCCTCTCATTTCTCATTCTTGTTTCTCCCCAATTGAAGAATAGAAGTAAGCTCACTACTTCCACTTTTGACTTCCAATCTTCCATTTCCGTTTCAAATCTAAACTTGTCTCTCTTTTAACTTTAAAATTTTTTATACTATTTAAACAAAACATTTTAAATCTAGAATTTAAATTTAAATCCATCAATCCAAACACTGCCTAAAGGTAAAAATGCACTTTTAATTTTCCCCATTACTTATTGATTAACACGTGCAATGCTCAATATTTGAGAATATAGAACATCGACAAAGATAAATTCATTTATTAACATGTGACTTCAATTCTCCTCCAAAACTGTTGAAGATCTGAGTGCTAAATGTACTTTGTATTTCTATAAAACCAAGCCATCATGTAACACCGAAGTGTATTACTATATATACCATCAACAATTAAACAAGTCAGTATCATGGGAAATTAACAACAATTCTACGCTTGATTATCAGAAAACTCAAGATTCAAGATTGGACAGTTAAACAAGTTATATATACCAACCCCAATCTGAGAGAAGTGTCTGAACTATCATCGTCATGTGGAGGATCAAATATGCTGCCAATGTTGGCTGACTCAGATGACTGACCTTGTTCTTGCGAAACATTCCTCCCCTAAACACACATTTTCCATCTTTAATAAGACTCTTATTTAAAACTAAGTAATTTGAGAACCAGTGATGTGGACCTTACTCCGAACTAAAATGCTTTCAAAAGCTTCCATATAATAGTCAGTCAAATTTGGTCAATAACAGATAAAAACTGATTTTTTTAAAAAATATATCATAGGATAAAAGAACTAATTGGCTCATAAAACTATAGATCCATGAGCATCTGGCACCATAAACTCATTTTTAATGTAATGTTAGTCTTCAATTTTTGTTTGATAGATTAGCCAATCAGTACAGCAATTTATTTGTCTAAAAATATGATCAATCAAAACTGGTCACATCCTCAGCCTTCAATCAATCATACCTCAGCACCATTTGTTTCTTTCTTTTTGTTTCCCGCGAATGATGCCGTCTTTTATTTCCCTCTTTCTCAACATTAAATGCGCCACGGACAAAAAACAAAAAAGTCATATTCAAAGGAAATTAATCACTGCTTCTAACGGAGCCCTTTTCCTCATGTCAACAAACACTCATTTTCCGTCTTCAAACAAAAATGGACCCAAAAAGTTACAATAAAAAATCCAAAAATTATAGATAAGAACCTAATAAATTCAGAAAAGGACAAAAATTTATTGGTCTTTTTTTTTTTAATTTATGAGGTCCTTTTCTGTCATTTTTTGGTTAACTAAGGGCCAGTTAAAACTAAATTTTCTTAACAGTAAAAGTTACATTGCATTGCTTCAAAAAGTTGAAAGAGAACATGTCAAAGTTAGTTTCGGAGACATTCTTGGACCTATAATTTAGAGCCCAATTTGCTATTTTACCCTATATGATATATATTGATCTATATTTCCTCCATCTCTCTTTACTTGTCCTGATTTGCGTTTTAATTTTGCCCCTAAATATGTCCTGTTCCAAATTTTGAGGTATAATTATTTGTTTTATATAATACTCCCGTTAAGTGGAGGGCAAAACTGGAATAGAAAAATAATTCTTACATTGCACATAGATTTTTTCCTATGAGGACAAGTAAACAGTGACGGAGGACGTATAATTTAAATAAACTAATTCAATTATGACTCATTCGACAGCGGTTAAACCATCAACAGAGCAAAAACTTTAAATCAATATCTTAACCAGTTCAATACCCAGTCTAATTTCATAAACATGAGAAATGACAGACATTAATGATTAAAAATGCAAATACTTCAAAATGTTGATTACCTGTTTTAGTCGCTGATTCTCTTCCATCAATTGGATTCTCTGCACAGATAGCATTTTAAGAGAAGTGAGGGTACGTGAAAGCTAAATATGATGTAGTTTTAATACTTATGGACTAAATAATGAATGCGCGCGCGCAACGAATACACCATTCAATCCATAGAAGTCTTAGACTTGCTGTTCTAGTCCATATAGTGCATATTTTAATGGATATTTTCACTTGAGGTAATGCAACTTTTGATCCCTCGAAATTACCTTAATTATTGACTTGGTGCTTAAAGTTTAAATTTTAAAATCAAGTCCCTAAAGTGTCATAATTATTCACAACAAGTCCCTATGGTTTGAAGGGGAAATAATACTATAAGGGCTAATTGCGTATACTTATGAAACTTTAAGGACTTAATTAATATAGATAAAACTTCAAGTGCCAAATTGATAACTAAGGCAAACTTGAAGAACCAAGAATTTCATTATCCCTTTTATTTTAATTCGGTCAAATATTTAGTAGCAGAATCATGTAGTTGTAAGGTTTGAAGACCAAGTATATATTCTTAATTCAAGAAATTGATAAATAGTTTTATTTAAGATTAAGGGGCCAAACATTGAGACATATCTTTGGGAGGCCAAAAACAACATTAATTCCCTTTTTAATTTCTATCAGATATTTTATGGTCCAGTTTAGTTTTGCTACTAATTACACTGAATTTGGTGGCATTTACAAGTGTCTTGGATTCAAATTGAGAACATCACTATCCTCGATTCAAGAACACAAAATGGAAAAATGATTCAAATTCTACATGTATGAATGGGAAAGGGAAGGAAAATTTTTGATGATGATAATTTTCTTTTCAAGTTTCAAGAACATGTAACTAAACAAACATAAATGAGATTTCAACAATTAAGTTTCGAACGTGATTGACCTTTATCTTGAGCGCACGGATCTCTTTCAACATCATTTCATCCTGCAAATCACAAAGAACCACCTACTCATATTAGTTACAATAATTTATGCATAGCAGCAATAAGTGGTTCCAAGAAAACAATCGTTGAAGCTTTGCTATTAATTAGAGCGTATTTGGATGGAGTAGTTTAAGGGAGTAATGTAATTCCCAAAATAGTCAACCCCACAATTCAAAAACCTCCTAATTGCTTCCGAAGTACTTTTCAAACTGAAAAGTAGGTCCAGGATAGGTTCTTCCATAATGCTACCAGTTCATATAATTGAAGTATCATGAGGCATAACAAAGTTGGGAGATGAGTTATCTTCATGTTTTCAGAGTTTGAAAGACTGTCTGTAAAATGACCCAAAAATTATTCTTTCTTTCTTTCTTATTTTCTCTTCTTCTTTTCTTTGCCTCAACGAAGATACAAACAAATAAGTATATATGCAAATATAGAAGTGGACAAGACAATGCAAACCTTTGCTTTGACAACACGGCTCAAACCTTTTTCTAATTGTTCTTCAAGCTTCTGTAATTCCTTTGTGTCCAATCCTTCGAGCTCTTCCCCATTCAACTGCCTTTCAATCATAAGGGACATATAGTCATCCCTCAGTAATAAACACTATATTGTAGGAAAAACTCACAGCACACAACACCCCCCTACCTCAGCTCCTGAACCTTATTGGCTTCTTCCTTGCTGAGCATGCTGAGGGTGTCCCTGTCAAACTACATGTAAAATTTGATTAATCACTATTGAATCTTTGGTGAAGCAAAGTGAAACACACACCATTCTCTCCATATATACAACCTGATCTCTCTCTCTCGCTTTTTTGCCAGCATTTTTATCTGAGGTAGAGACTTATTTAATTGCAAACCATAGGTAGAGGCCTGTATATGGAGGAAAAATTTTCTAGTACTGAATACATATATATGATACCACCTCATTTGTATAATAACCTACTCCCTCTGGTCCTAATTATAGGATAAAGTTAACTAACTTCATGATTTTTAATGGTAGTTAATATCCTTAAACTAGTTAAAAATATTTGACTTTTTAATTTTGCCTTTCACTAAAATTAATGACCACAGTAAAATGTGTCTAGAGATTAAAACTTGGTGCAATTATAAAAGAAGGGCAATATTGAAAAAAAAAATTAACTAGTACATCTTTACCCTATATTTAGGACCAAATAGAATTTTTAAAATTTTGCCTTACAATTAGTACTAGAGTAAATATTTATGTCATCAAGACAACACATTATTGAAACAATATCTTATACACATAACTAGAATAGGCCCTGTGCATTTTCGTGGAATTCAAGATAAGTCATCCCCTTCATTATTGTTTTGAATCATGAAGTTCCCAATACCTTTTATATTTTATATTGAATGAATATTACTGATTGAAACTAAGACTTAGTTGTGGTTTAAACCATTAGTTCAGTGCAGATGATTCAACAGTGGCTTGAGAAATCACAGTGAAGTTTCTCGCTACAGTTGAACCCTTTAAAAGTTCGGGCCAGGGCACATTTTGGAAATTAATGAGAAAATAATGAAATAGCTAAGTCAATCGCAGAAGCAGCTTAAAAAATTACAAATATATTATCAATATTGCTACCTTAATAGATCATAATTTTAATTTAATTGGTTATATTACTTAGAAAAGGGAATCATCCACGCAATAATTAACTAATAGTCAATAAAGCTGAATTCTGTGAAATCCAAGAGAGTGGAATTAAGTTAATGTTTTATCAATGGGCGGCTGGAACCTGTCAGGACAATTCCCAAAAATGATTTATTAAATTAAAAGAAAAGATTGAGATATATATATATATATATATATTTTGACCAAGTGACTTGAAATAAAATACGTGCGTGCAATGATCTTATCACCTCAATAGAAGGATGGTCTAATCTTTCATCTGAGAGCAGACGACGCCTTTCAATAACCTGCTGCACACTATATGAAGGAAAAAAGTGGGTTATTCAAATTTTTCTGCCTTCGAATTTGCACAAAACATGTTAATGAAATCTTGCACTTTCTCTAATATAACAATAAATTCTTATACTATGACGGTAATATCATATTACATATATATATCCACCCTCTTTGATTAAATTAATCTGTTGTTGGTTTTTTTACTCACCGGTTCTGAAATCTGTATCATGCCCTCACTCATCTGGTTCCAGCCAGGACAGACCAAACTCCTAGTGACAACTTTTTTTTTTTTTTTTTGAGTCTAACATAGGGAGCCTCAGAGTTGTGAAATGGGGTTTATAAGTGTGAGGTGCTCTCTCACCCAATAGGCTAGTATTTTGGAATAGACTCTTCCTTTAAACTTGTGTTCATAACATTAGTGCTCTTGTTGAGAGGCCAATCTCATGAAGAGGGCTACCCATAGAGGGTTTTGACAACAACTCTCGGACAAGATAGCATATTGTTGAGAGTGCCACAATGAGGAGCTTCACAAGTAAAAGGGGTTTATAAGTGGGAGATGCTCTCTCACCCAACAAGCTGGTATTATTATGGGATAGACTCTCCTTGAATTTGTGCTCATAACAATTTTTCTTTATAAACATGACTCAAACTCAAGAATCATTCTTTACATGCATGGTTTTGGTATACATAGACATGAAAGTTTCAAATATTTATATCTATTATTACATTTATACAGTAATAGGCATTCGACAATCTTGAGTGACTAGAATCAAAGTCAACTATATGATACCCTACTTATCTTGACTAATTAATTTCTATGAACGGACCACTTACATAACAAAAAATAATTAAGGGATAACCTGTCTACTGGAAGCTCTCACTTGATCCTCTTAATCTCCTTCCGGATGTGGACAAAGAAACAATATTAGCCAAAAAAAAAAATTCTCTTTCTCGTAAGTTCTAAAACACCTCTATTTTTTTAGGGGATAAAAAAACATTTGACTCTCAAGTGAGTATGTCATCTTTATTCAACCCCAAGAATCTCTCTGTCCGTTGATTCTATCTTACTCATATAGTTCTCTTCCTAAAATGGTTTTCGTGGCATTGAAATACTATTTGTTAGGAGCTCACTTGTCAAAGCAAAAAGGGTGGGGGGACAACCAATTGGTCTCAAATAAACCTATATTTAATTATGACTAAAAAAGGAATAACTCCACATTTTTACAACTCTAAAATATTTGAACGGGAAAAAAAATTTACTCATACAAGCTTGAATAATTCTAAAACCCTCATCACACAAAAATACTACCTAAGATCCTTGTTACACTCATAATCCTATACTTGAATGTGATGCCAAAATGACTTGATCACGACTATTCAATACCTTGATTAATAATCTTACAATTGAACTTTCTATAATGATAAAAAAAAAAAAAAGATTCTTAAGGCATTTATTTATAAGAAAAGTTCTCACCGTTCATCTTGAACTCTCAGCTAATATGAGACTTCAACTTAGAGAAGCACTACGCTAACGGACTTGATGTAAAATGATTAATCATCTTGGAAATTTCTAAGTTTATCTTTGCATTCTATGAAGTGCATGGTAACTCCTACAACTAGTCTTGTTGAGAAGTGATGTAAATCTCATGAATAAATTGTGTCCTTAAGATGAAATTAATCAAAACATTCTTGTAACATTTTACGTCTCACTGAAAGAGTGAAAAGCACCTAATCACTATACCAATATGGAGATTGTCAACCCCAAAGGTAAAATGTATAGGAAAAGCATTTCTAAAAACAACCTTACAAAATTTTAATTAAACTCGTTTCTAACTATTTGTGTTTGTTTATCCTCCTCCATTTTTATGCCATATATAATCAAGAAGAGTTAGTATCCTGAATAGTGCATGTAAATATGCACAAAGGATGTTAAGTAAACTTCATTTAGAGAGAAACACTTACAAGTGACGCTATGTATATAATCTGATCTAAAGTGTTTCATTACTTTTTGGAATGTTTCCATGTTCATAATAATCAATTTTAACATGGTAAAGTTTAAACTAGTCTGCAGGAATGAATAGTAACCTGTCAGCAAGCATAAAGACTTCAATGTTCATCATTTAGCTAGTGTGTTAAATCTGACTATTAATTATCCTTGGACATGAAAAAGACTGAATATTCTCCAATGTTATAATTCAAAGTGGCAGTTTTGATATATTACTCTATGCACATCTTTTTCTGTTGTTGTGATCCTCTGAAGTTGTATAATGGATGAGTTATTTGTGGAAAGGTTGGTCCAATTAGAAAAGGGGGAAGAAAGAAAAATGATCAAAACATCTACTTTATGAAACTTGAAGAGACCAATTCAGAGGATCTGAATCCTCTCTTTTCTTAAGCAAAACTAGATGTAGTATACATATACATGTATATTTTTCAGTTGCAAATGTAGTAAAACTTTAAATAGTCAAAAAGAAGTCATTTTCTAAAATAAAACAAATCCACTGTGTATGGTATAAGGGCATATATTGGACATGAAATGAACTGTAACATGACATCATATTGGTATTACCTTTGCAGTTATATATCACAAATAACAAACAAATTAAATAATTATTTTAGAAAGCCATTCATTTTACGTCATGACGGGGAAAAAAACAAAAGACATTCTTTATAAGTATACATTCAAGAATCAGAATAAATAGGGAAGTGGAACCTTTTTAGGTGGGAAAAACAAGCTAAGTACAACAAAGCAAGACAGCCAAGTTAAACTATAGTTAGCATTTTCTGAAATGAGAGAGTTATCAAATCCAGGAGGATCGAAAAACGTGATTCTGCAGCTAGCTAGCACGCCTAAACCATCCTCTTATGCTTCTCTAGAACAATGAGTTCAAAATAAAA